GGGAGCCAATATCAGATGAGTAGCCAATGGGGGGGTGCGGGGGGGGGAGTGGTCAGATGTGGGAGAGGGGAGGAGATGTTACACGGTAGCAAATAAAATTAATCAACAAAACACAGTGTGAAAACTATTCAGTTCCACTTTTGCCAGTCTCAGTGCATGCACTGTATCTCTAGTCTTTAATTCATGCAGGTTTCCTAATGGTACCTGTGCACATAATCATTGGCTACTCATCTGATATTGGCTCATTCCTAAATTGGTCCTTCTCCAGGAGCTGTTGTTCCCATAATAAATGCTGACACTGTGGTAATGGTTGTTGCTGATTCATTTCCATCGCTGTGGAATGGAGGAGCTTTGGGACTGATGGTCACTCGTTGCTGCTTGCACAATCACATCTTCCTGATTTACTGTATGCCGTGAATGATCAGCTTCTCTAGTTGCATGCAGATGTCTATGGTTGTGACATTTATTTGGGCGCTGACATTCACCACATATGCCTGATGGGACAACTGTTCAGTCCAGGTCCCAAGTTGCCATGTGGGCTGACATTTGTTAAGAGTGTTGAATGTTTGCACAATGACTGGCTTTCAATTGCTGAGCCCTGCAAATATCTTGGCAGTTTTATCAAATTTTGCCTTCTGTAATTTTAACCATAATCTTGTCACTCAGGCCTGTTATCAGTCCTGGTTTCAGGAATTTTCTTACTACTGGAAGAATAGTTTGGGTATGACAATGACAGTGATCTTTGGATAGGACTACATTCCATGCCTACAGTATTGAGCATTTCTCTACTGAAGAGCTTGCCTTGTAAAAGTTTGTGCTGAATTTACGAAAATCCTTTATAATCCCTTTGGTGATTTTCATTGCCACCTAACCTTTTCCATTTTCCAAGGGATAAATGATATATGATGTTGCATTTCCCAATTCTCTATTAAGCTGAATTTTTCCCTGAATCGAGAGCCATTGTCACTGATCACAATGTCTGGAACGTTGTAATGACTGAAGTATTGTGTCAGGCATCGACAATCTCACTTGCAGTCACTGATGTCAGTGAATCTAACTCCCAGTCATCAGGATGGCAGTCAACTCTGACAAGGTTATCACTTCCTGAGAGAGTGAAGAGGTCTAATTCCAGCTTAAAGCATGGTCTGTCTGGACTGGCACGTGTCATAAGTGGCTCTTCAGCTCAGTTAGTTTCATATTCGTTCCTGAGATAACTAGCTGATGCAGATCTTGATCTCGTTACTTGTGTTTGGCCATCACAGCATTTCTCTCACCTGCCTCAGAGTAGGCAATTTCTAAATGGCTTGCATAAATTCACTTCAGCATCTCATTTCTCATCTCTTTTGAGATAATGGCTATATTAATTGTACAAGACGCCACTTTGGGGGTATCATTTCAACACTGTATGCCCACCACACTCATAGCAAAAAGGTGTCCCAATTGTTTTCAGGCTATGCTTTAATTGGTACTTCCTGGGAGCACAGATAGAGATGTATATTGTTGCATAATTTGCTTAATCCGAGCACGACACTCGTATTTCAGATTTAAATACTCGGCTGGACTGATGACTTCCAGAGCACGTCGAGCTGTTGCTTCTTACGATCTAGAAGATTTCACAGACTGTCATAGCATCTTCAACTTTCTTCATCGGCTGTTGAAAGCAGCACTCCCTATCAGCAAAGTATATCCAAGTGTTTGTTTGTGGTATCCAGACGATATCTCTGTGAAGTAACTTTCTTTGCCAATGCTTGCATTGGTGGTTGTCTCCTTTGCGGAAGGGCTGTTTCAAGTTCTGTCGCAGTGGTGTCACGATGCAAGGTTGACTTCATCTGAGCATAAACACAAACTTACAAATTAATTGTAGGAGTAGGCCACTCAGTCCTTCTAGTCTGTTCTGCCATTAGGTGAAATTATGGCCAATCTGACTATTCCACATCCCTGCCTACCCCAATAGCCTTTCTAACCCAATAAAAACCAAAAGAACTGCGGATGCTGTAAATCGGGAACAAAAACAAAGTTGCTGGAAAAGCTCAGCAGGTCTGGCAGCATCAGTGGAGGAGCAAACATGGTTAACGTTTCGGGTCCGGTGACCCTTCCTCAGAAC